CTGTTTTCTGGAATATTCAAAAAGCCCCTCCAGCTGTGCCAGGCAATCAGGGTGCTGATTGCTCCCCCATCTGCAGCTTAACATTCCACTCCCGAGAGGAGAGAGCTGGCGGCTGAATGTTAACTAGGGAAAAGACAGGCTCCGGCCTTCCCAACAGCAGCCTGAACAAGAGCCCTAGGAAGATAAATACACTTCTCCAAGATCTGCCAGCCAGCTAGAACTTACCCACACACACACCAGCATCACGGGCAGTGGAAAGAGCCACAGAGTCAGAAATAAGCAAACTAGCTTCAGGTCCAGCTACTGCCCTGAGCAACCATAGGCCCGTCTCTGCAGCCTCAGTTTCCTCAACTGTAACATGGGGGTGGCTCTTCCCAAGAGGATTAAGACCATGTGCGGTACAAAGGCAAGCCATCATCACTGTTGTCTGTAGTTGTTGTGGCACCCTTCCTACCGTGGAGAAGTTCTCAGTCACCAGTACGGAAATCTCCGGCAAGCTGGCTTTGGGGAAAATGAGCAAAGGGAGAGAAGCTCCCTGGGGGAGCCTCTCACAGAAGGCTCGGCGTCAGCAGGGAGTTGGGGCTGGGCTGGTGCTGTTCGCATCTGGCTCAAACCTCTGGGAGAAGCAGGACAGGAATGGGAACGCACGGGAGATGGAAAACTTTGGGAGAAGAACTAGGAAAGCAGATGAAGTTCTGTGGCCTTCTGCTTGCTCAGGAAAATAGCCTGGAGCGATTCAGTGTAGGGACAAAAGTGTGCCACCACGAGGCCACTGCTCATAATTAACTTGCTCAAAGCAAAGATTAGGATTCGCCAAGAAGTGCCCACAATCTTTTCTGTTTGTCTTGAACCATGCAGGAACCCGTTTATAGAGAGATTTCTATTAAACTGAGACAAAATACCTGGAGCTAAAATAATATAACCTTCTTCTTACAAAGCTGACCAATGTGGAATAGCTCATCTATGTACTGATAGTGACAGATAGTGAGGGGACTCTGAACTTGGCCTTATTGTTACTGTGCTGCGTTCGCCCTGCCACCGCACTCCCTACCCAGGCCTGCAGGTCCAGCTCTGACCACTGACAGCCGAGCCCAGGCAGTAAGGGACGGCAGGAGTTCGCCTTGGTTCCTGACAGCCTCCTCGCAGGGTGGGACCCTGCGCCACACGGTCTCAGGCACGGAGGGCCTGCCTGAAACTGGATGAATCGCTCGGCTCAGATCAAGAGCTGCCTCGGCTGCCACCGCCACCCCTCGCCCTCACTGTGGGTACTTCGTTTGTTAGCATTTTCTCCAGCAACCTCATAAGCATGTGTTACTCTGGGAGAAAACATTTGCAACATAGATAAAGGAGTGCTGAACTGGCCCGGGCTCTGAAACTGCAGGGGTTCCCTCTTCATGACAGCAAAGTGCTTGTATTGTTTTTTTTCCCCTTAAAGTACAAAACATTACGTGTTCATCTAAAAAAAATTTAGAAAATACAGCTAAGGAAAAAGGAAAATATGAACGAGCCCTCACGATCCGGTACGCAGAGATAACCACTTTTAGCATTAGGTGTATGTTCTCCCAATCTTTTCCAGATAGGGAGATGGATAGATAATTTTTAATGGGATTAATTGTATTTGACATTTTTTTTTTCACTTAACAGTATGTTGTAAAATTTTTTCTTATTAAAAATTCCCCTGTATGGGTGGTTCTCAAAGTGTGGCCTGGGACCCCTGGACATGTCCAATACTTTTTCAAGGAGTCTATTGGGTTAAAACTATTTTCATAGTTTTCATTGGGTTAAAATAATATTAAGACATTATCTGCCTTTCAGTCTCATTCTCTCAGGAGCATACAGTAGAGTTTTCTGGAGGCTGCAGGATGTGTGATATCCCAATAGGCTGAATGCAGACACAGATATGCAAATCCAGTGTTTTATATTAAGCCAGACTAATTTAAAGAGGTTTGTAAAAGGGTAAAACAGTGCCCCTTTTCTCATTAATTTTTTTTAAATATAGTTTTTCAAAAACATATTTTCTAGTAGAACATGAAATGGGTTTATATTGTCATCCTAAATGACTTCACAAATACATATTTTTGAATTTCCTTCATTTTATTTTGAATATGCTAAATATGAATCAGTGTAGTCAGTCCATCTAAGCCAAAGCTCTTTGGGGTCCTCAATAATTTTTAAGAGTATAGAGTGATTCTGAGGCTGAACACTTGAGAATAACTGCTGTGTATCATTTTTTTTTTAACCAGAGTCGACACACCATGTGATATTAGTTTCAGGTGTACACTTCACTTCCAATGACTGCATAGTAGCCCTTTGAGTGGATGTCCCCTGGTTTGTTCGTCCATATCCTTATTGATGGATGTGCAGGTTGCTTCCAATATTCACTATTATAAAAGTGCTTCACAAATCACCCAGTGCTTAAGTGAAAACTCTTTGACATTAGAGAAAACAACAGAAACCCACTGGGAGGGCCAACCATCACTACCAGCCCATTATTAATTACATTAAACAAAGCATATCATAGAATGAAAAGCTATATGTACACTGAGTAGATATGAATGCATACAGATACAGCACGTATTTCTATAGAGAGAGATTATGCTCTGTAAAGAGTACTTTTCCCCCTGTTGTTCAATGAAGTGTTTACAAATTTGATCATATTCTAGACCAGTGCTACTGTCAGCATAAAACTTGGTGCCACTGCAGAAAACTGAGTTTAGAAACTTCTAAGCAATTTGAGAGAAATTTTATTTCTGTAGAAAACAACAAAAAATTGATAATTGTAAAAAAAAAGTCAAGTACTAAAAAACGCTGCAAATATTCATTTTTTATATGTTGAGAGTATTCCTGTAGGATAGATTTCTAGAAATGGAATTGCTGGGCCAGTGGACATGCATTTTGCAATGTTAATAGACATTGCCAAGTTACCTCTAAATTTATTTACTTCTCACCAAGAGTGAGATGTAAACACATCAAATATGCTAAGAGTATATTTGCACATCTGTTCTCTCACATCTGTGTCCATATCAAAGATCATTACTATTTTAAATCTTTTTCTATTGAGGGGGTTATAAGACATACTTCACCTTCTGTGAATTACTTATTCATATCCTTTTTCTCTTGTTTTTTTTCTTACTGATTTGTCTGGAAGTCATATTCTGGACATGGATGTTTTAATTGCAAATATTGTATTTAATTATGTAGTTTGCTTTTAATTTTGCTTCCATGTCTCATTGTAGCACAAAAACTTTACCTTTAAAAAAAATTTTATTCTGATCCATTAATAATTTTCTTTATGGTGTGGGGGATTCTTATTTTGCTTTGAAAGCCTTTCCTCTTGCATGATTTTTAAAATATACTCCATTTTCCTCTAATACACTTGCGGCTTCCCTTCTTCCCTTCCCTTCCCTTCCCCTTCCTTCCCTTCCCTTCCCTTCCCTTCCCTTCCCTTCCCTTCCCTTCCCTTCCCTTCCCTCCCCCTCCCTCCCCTCCCCTCCCCTCCCTTCCCTTTCTTTTCTTTTCTTTTCTTTGAATGTTTAGAACTTTAATCCATCTGGAATTATTTTTTGTTGTGGTGTAAGACCCTGACTGTTGACCTTTGCAGGTCATAAAATGGAGTATGGCGGGGTGCCTGCAATGAGCTTGCTCCCCAGAAGCCACAGCCCACATGTTGCTGGGGCCTGACAGGACTGCTACAGCTGGAGCCAAGCTGGTGCCCAAGGTAGACAGATATCTGGGCCCATCTGGCTCAGGAGGGAAGCCAAGCTACATTTCAGAATCTTTCTGAAGGTGTTAGAGCTGCTATGGTCATCTGGAAAGCTGATGACCAGGGCTTTCCCAAGAAAATACCAAAACATCTTTAACATGCTGTGTTAAACTCCACAAGGAGTTTTCATGTCCATTATCTTACTTGATGCCAACATTGTGGATATAGGTGGAGGAGGACTTAGGATCCCTGTTTTACCATTACAGGAAAATACGGCACAGAGAGGTTAAGTAACATGCCCAAGGTCACACAAATGGCAAGTGGAGAGTGAACTAGACCTCAGACCTCCTGCCACCAAGTCCACAGCTCCTTGGACCTCTCTGTGCATCAGGCTCTGTCCTCAGGGACAATGCAGGTGACCCCTTCCAAGGAAAGAAGGATCTGACCTAAAGCTTTGCCAAATCTGTGCTCTCCCACTGTGGGTAGGAGAGACTGGAAAAAATCTATCCTCCACTACCAGTTGACAGTGGATTTCAAGAACTAAGGCTTTCTTCTGCCTGCATGTCCTCCTTCCCCTGAGAGCTTTGGCGAGGGTGGGAGTGGAGATGAGTCAGGTCGGGAAGGGAGAGCTCAGCCATAAACAAGTGGAACTGACAGCGAGCACCTTCCTGGAGGCGCAGGAACTCCCACGGGCCTCAGGGATTCTGCCAGAATGGCAGAGCTTCAAAATTTCATGATCTAGTCTTTGCAGATTTAATTTGCTATATTCACGAAGGCAGCCGCAGAAGAGGGAAAACCTTTAGATGGGAGGTGGGGGATGAGGAAGAAAACAATGATTGCCCATCTTTCAGCAGACAGCTCGCGATATCTTGTTTAATGATGTGCCATTCCTGCAGATGCCCAATGTGCCTACTGCTGGATCTTCATCCCTTCCAATTCCAAACCAAAAAGACATTCAGGATGCAGAATCGTAAAGCTGGACCTGGTCTTGGAGATCAGACGTTCCAGTCTCTTGGGTTAACAGGAACCCCATGGATCCCAAGAGAAATGACTTGTCCAAGTGGATATTTTTGGGTAAGTTCTGGGAACAGATCTGAGGTCTCCTGGATCCTGACCTGCCTTTGCCCTGGTGAATCTCAGGAGAACACCAGGGAAGGTGTGGCCACTGAACACATGATGAGGAAGTAAAAGGTGGAGCAGAGGCAGAGAGAAGCAGGGGCAACAGGCCCACTAGTCACTGAGGAGAGCTTCTCTCAGCTCTGGGGCTGCAGCTAGGGTTAGGGAGGTTTCGGCCTACCTGCTCCAGGGGGATGACGAGGAAGGAGCCACCTCCCGCGCTCTCGGTGACAATGGCCAGGAAGCGGGCGTTGACGGCACAGAAATGGTTATCGTGCACGTTCTTGGTAATCGGGATCCCATCAAAGCAGTGCTCCCGGTTTGCCACCTTCCCATAGACGTTCCGGAACTTGGAGCTGCGGTATTGTGGACGCCAGGACATCTGTGAAGGGCCAGGAGAGACAAGGGTCAGGCTGGTCACCACTTCCTGAAGGGCCTGGGCTGGGCACTGGGGGGAAGGAAGAGGGGAGAGGGGAAGGAACCTATAAGAATGCAGGGCCCACTGTGTGCCTGGCCCTATGCTAGAGGACTTTTAATAAAGCCCTACAAGAGCAAAGACCCGCATGAGAGCATTCACACATTTCCTGCCGTTGGCACCTACTCCCATCCCACCTTCCAGGAAGGATGTAAGGTCCCTTCTCTTCCCAGGGACACGCCACGTGAAAGAGCACACCATCTACCCGACAACGTGTATGGGCCGCCTCCTGCACGTCTGAAACTGCTCAGTTCAGTCGGGGAGGTGCACACAGAGATTAGGTGTTCACAGAGAGGGCACTGCTGGCACGAGGGGCTATGAGATGCCCTCCTCTATGTGCAAGGAGGCAAATGATGTCCTCATGCCCTCCTCTGATTCTCTCAGAGCTCCTGGTCCACAAGAGCATCCTCAGAATCTCTTAGTCCTATAGACCATTATCATCACCACCACCAGGCACAGAAAGGTTAAGTGACTTGTCCAAGGCCACACAGGTAATAAATAGGTCCATGAACAGAGGTCTCCTGATCAGAAATCTAAGACTATTTCCTATGCCAGACCACCTTTAGGAGCAAGGTTTTCCAATGTGTGTGGCCCAAGGATCACCTGTATCAAAATCATCTGGGGTAGGGGAGGTTTCTGTGCCTTGTTAGAAATGCTGATTCCTGAGTCCCAGTCTAGACCTACTGAATCCAATATATGGAGGATGGGGCCCAGAAATTGGCATTTAAATTCAGCTTTGCTGCACACCCCCTTCCCCAGTGAGACAGAAACACACAGAGAATGGGGTGGTGTCCCTCCCCACCCTTCTCTGTTCACCATCGATAACACAGGCTCCCAGCAACCAGCTGGCCTCTGCTGCACGCCTGTCCCCTGCTGTGCACGGTGGGGATCACCAATGTGCATGCGTGGGTGGGTGGGGGGCTGAATGGGCAGCCCACAGGGGACGATGCGGCACTGCAGGATGGTGCCTCCTGTGCAGAAGCACTACAAATGGGCACCACGCAAGGGTGATGAGCCACAGTCGAGTACCCAACCGGGGGCCAGCAGGAGCTCAATGAGTGCTTTATAAAATGAACACACCCCTAGCCGGAAACTGGCATTACCTATCCCTTCCCCTTCCTACCAAGTCTCCTGATGTGCCTTGAGTCTCCTACCCCACCTCGGGACAGAAAGGGGCGAGCTCATTTCTTCACATGAACTTTCCAAGGGAAGGAAAACTCAGAGGAAACACCACCACCGAATCAGGAAACCAACTCTGGGAAACTGAAAACAAAACGTTGCCCTTGTTTCCAATACAGCCAGGAGCTCAGCTATAGAGGCCTCTTCATTGAAGGAAGGAGTTCACATCCAGTGAGGGGAATCTCAGGGAGGGCCCCTCACCTTCAGGCCAATCCTCCGCCTCCACCCCCGACACCCCCTCCACTCCTCCAGGCCGCGCTTCACCCGACGGGGCCAGGCTCCTTATCCTCCAGCCTTCCTGCCTCCCAAGCCACTGCCCGCTGGGCCCCCTTCCCGCTTGCCTTCTCTCTGCCCAGCTCTGCCAAGACTGCGCGGCACGAAGCCCTGCCTGGCGAGGCAAGCGCACCGGATGGGAGATGGGAGGCTGGCTGGTCACTCCTGGCACGTGACCTCAGCCAGGGCCCCCTGCTCCCGGGCACTTGCCTCCCCGGGAGGATTACAGCCGCCATTCCCTGAGAGGAGTCTGCAGACACACAGTGTGTTTACACGGCACAGAGATGAAGTTTTTAGTTTTAGTAGTTGTGTACTTGTTTTAATTTGCGTTAGACAAAAAATATAGCTTGTATGCCAAATCCAGGCTTTCATGGATATTACTGCTCATAAGGCTAAGTTAAAAATAATGAATCGATCCAAAGAAAAATATGGTAGGGCCACTCACCTCTGCAGCACACCTGCTCTCCTTTCTTGAATGTGTACTTTGCTTTATTCAACTACTCTTTGAAAAAGGGAAAGAAATACAGTATGAAAAATATAGTATGGGTGGTATATGAATCTGGCAAAAATTCAATCTAATGTGGGAGTGCTAGGAATAACTCTGTCCCTTCCAGGTAGAACATTCTAGATTTCAGAGTTCCCACAGAAGAGAAGGGAGGTAGCCAGCTTCCTCATCCCAACTTCCAGTTCCTTGGGGG